AACGAACGTTTGTTTTGAATCTTCTTGATTGTGTTACGTTACACCTAATCTTGAATGCTGATTCGTAGATCAGAAGATACGTCACCCAACCTGGTACGTACGTACGTACGTACACATTTTCCGACTGCGAGTGTATTGCCTCATGACGTAATACAAGACGAAAATCATCAACAGAAAAAACAGGACAACCTAATCTCTGAATGACAATACAAATTAAGACTTCCATTGATAGACCAAATTAGATGGATCATTTAACATCTCTAATGACGAATACAACAACATGTAATACATTACAAGTTTAAACATAGCAATTGTTTATGCATCACGCGCGCTGACATTATCCTTTAAAACTACGTTTCAAAACTACGCTTCAAAACTACGCTTCTAATGTATAGCTTTTTATATCAATACGTGACCTTCGATACATCAAATACCTTTTGTATCATTTTGTCTGACAATTAAATTTGCTCCGCCAAAATATTTATATGATTTAAATCATTAATCAAGTTCTAAGAAGGATTTTTCTTGTTATCACTGAATAGCTTAATTTTTTTCTCTTTTAACTAGTCTATTAATATTTCTAGTTATGAGTACTATAGTGGTAATTAATAAAAATGAATGGCAATCAGCATTAAATGGTGGTTCAGTCGCGAGCGAGCAATCATTAAGATATAGTATAAGGAATGGTCGGGAATTTTTAGACCTTACAGATTATAATATTGAAGGTTATTTGAAGTTAAAAAATTTTATAAATTTAGAAGTGTTGGATTGTTCCAGTGCGCGGAAATCTTTTCCACGAACAAATGATCATTGTCGCAACCATATTATTGGTCTCGATTTAAGCGGATGTCCTGGGTTAATAGAGCTTAACTGTTCGGAAAATGCAGAATTGACTGAACTAAATATCAAGAATTGTTTTAATTTACAAAAAATTAATGTTCTCGGTTGTCCAAAACTAAGAAAAGTAATCTGTGACAATACTCCTCATTCTCCCACGGAAATAATTAAAGAAAGCAAAAGGTTTCCTTGTCTTACCGACGGATGTAAACGAGCGGCATCTAATAACGGGCATTGTGATATGCATCAGAGTTGTAAAGCAAGAGGATGTGATTCATATATCCATATTTCGAAAACATACTGCTCTTCTCATCAATCAATTTGTATAATACCTGATTGTCCCTCTCGAGCTCCTCTAAACAGTAAGTGTGTTTACCATAACAGGGAGCACCGATGTTTAGAAAGTGGATGTAAAACATTTGTTCATATTTCGAAAGAATATTGTCCTTCTCATCATAAACCGAAGCATGATTGTAAAGTAGAAGGATGTAATTCATCTATCCCTATTTCAGAAGAATACTGCTCTTCTCATCAGTCAGGTGGTAGAATGTACTACAGTCCTATTATATTTTTATTTATTTTTATTTTTTTTTATAAATATTATAAACTTAGTGGCTGAAAGAAAAACTGTCAACTTTATCATTTAATCAATAACATGACCAATAACTAGTTGGTCGAGGACAGTGAATAATTCCATTAGTGTATAACGTGAAATAATTTTGAATTTTTAAGATTTTTGAGATAAAAATTACATGAATTTAAGTTTGATTGGGCTCTTATTACACATGATGAAAATTACTTGAATGGAAAAACAAATTCGTAGCATTAAATTAGGGTATGAATTCACATAATCATGTTTTATAAATTTTTGTCAAGTCTATTTTATATGCATAGATAGTTTTATATATAACATATATCTATATATATTAGTATAACAAATTAATCCATTATATTGCAATATTAAGTTATAACTAGGATAGTATTGATTTATTTATTTAAACGAGATTCCTTATCACAGTCAAAGTAGGTCAAAAATTAGAGTTTTGCCGCATCAATTTAAAAAAAAAATCATGTACAGAAAGAAAATATTAATCTAAGATGAAGAAGTATAATAAAAGATTAACTACAAAAAGAGTGCAATCAACTCTTTCTATAAAGAAAAGATTCTGGAAGAAAACAAAAGTTCGTTATAAAAAATTACTATATTTTATTAAAAACACA